CTACGCTGAGCTGATAGTAAGCTGGCCTACGTTACTATACCCTGAGGGACGCAAAAAAGTACGCAAGATGGACGCAAACAATTTAATATGTTTAACAAAATTCGCGTACTTTCGGCGTAGAAACTTGACGCAGAAAGTACGCCTTTTTTACGTAACACTACGCTACTAAACTAAACAAACTGCATCTTTAAATGAATTAATGAAAAATTAGCCCAAGAAAAATGAGCCCCCGAAAGATAAAAAAAAAAGTAGCCCCAAAAAATTTTCCCCAAATTTGATATAGATCGAGTCCCCGAAAAAAAAAAATCTTTCACTGGATTCTACGCTCACAGTCCCACACACAGTCGAGTCAATTTGTGCACAAACCGTCCGATTTTTCGCGTAAAATCTTTACTTTGAAAATAATTATACACATTTTGTGAACAATGCCAACATAATCATAATCCAAGCCTCTGCATATGTAGTCTTTTCATGAAACTACATTGAAATCACAACAATAATAATGCAAATAAATAGTAATTATCGAGATCCTATCTGACATAGTTTGTTTTACGATGCGCCATTCATGGTCAAACAGCATATATTATAAAAATTCTCTATATAAAGATAATCTAATTTTTTTTTGGATAGCACATAGGCCTCTATCTATCTATCTATTTGGCCCCCTCCCCTAGAATCCCGTGGATTTTCCACGGGTCCTGCTAGTCTATATTATTAATACGCAAAATCGCCGCGGGGGGTCCAACACGGGCCAAAACGGTTCCTCAAAAACGTCTTTCCCCGACCGCGCTTACCTCCGCCGTGGCGCGGTGACGGCGGCACAATTCCACGAGGCATGTCTCCCGTAACCCGCGTGCCACGTCGACCCCGCGATCGACGTCCATGCCGTTAAACGCGGTTTCGGGGTGCCGGGGAGGACGGGCGAACAAGAGCACGGCGGGCGTGGTGGATTGCAAGGAGGCGACGAACCCGCGAGAGCGAGTCGGCAAGGCGTGCATCCGCCCTCTGTGCAATCAACAAAGAGACACACGGCGGACGAGAATCCACTTCTGTCAATGGGTGTAGCACATCACGTAGTAACGGGTGTGGCTTACCCCGAGTTAAGGCCTCTTGCTATAGGATACGCTTTGTAGCATGTAAGAGAAATACACATTAACAGATGACTCACCCGGGAGATGGGATGTAGAAAATGCACGCTCTCACGGGTTGGGCTTACCCGTGTTATGCGTCTTTCTATATGATATGCTTTGTAGGCCAGCCGGACCTGCTGCGTGTACGAACGTACGTGTATAATGTATGCGATGATTCTACGCTCACTATCACACGCACAGCTCAGTCGCTTCGTCTTTGATTCTATGATGATTGCCGTGATTTATATATAGTTTACGTGAATAGAGGTATGCAAGCAGGGTTACTTTGGTATTATCCTGTTCATGTTTACTGAATTTTGAAAATCATTCTTCAAAGTAAAGTTTTCACAAAAAATTCATCGTAACTGACGGTTCAGTTGCAGTTGCATGGTAGCTGTAGTGAGGCACGGGCAGTGCAGTGCGCCACTGCTGCCGAGCACTGTCGGAACTGTGACTGTGTGTGAGGTGAGGTGAGGTGAGCTGAGCTATTATAGAGTAGACTCGACAATATTTTGAAATTGCTGTTATTGCCCCTATTTCAATATAGTTTCGTGACTATAGAGGTATGAAACCTGAGCTTAGATTGTGATTATTCTGTCCATGTATAGTTGTATGCTGAATTTCGATAATCATTTTTCAAAGTAAAGTTTTCACAAGAAAATCAGACGGTCGTTTAAAAACATAGCCATTGGCATTGTCTATAGCTGGATAGAATACTTTTACTATGATACAGTTCCTTCATCAAATCAATGCATTAAAACGGGTATTACGGAGCGCCATTCATGGTCAAACAGCGTTATAAAAATCGTCTAGATTCTAGGCCTAGACCTTATATAAAAATAATCAAATTTTATTTTCGATAGCACATAGGGTCTAGGCCTCTTTCTATTTACCCCCCCCCCCCCCTCCCCTGCCCTCCCCCTAGAATCCCGTGGATTTTCCACGGGTCCTGCTAGTTGTTTTTATTGTGCAGAGCATACTCTTTTATTGACTGACTTATTGAATGAAACTATAAAAACAACATGCATTTTGTATTCTAACAATTGGAGTACAAAGAATAATAACAGGTGAATGAAATGCATAAACACCACCCCTGGGAAGGAAGCATTCATAAATTTAAATACATATAGTTGATAAACGACTCCGCTTGAAGCTATAAAACCAAAATGTAATTTGCGTTCTGGCAATTGGAGTACAAAGAATGATAGCAGGTGAATGAAATGCTTCAACAACACAAACACCTGGGGAGGAAGCATCCATAAATTTGAATAATTTAGTTGATAAACGATTCCGCATGTCACTATGAACATGACTGACAAAGAAAGCGGACAAAATATACAGTTCCTCAGGTAGTCAAAGGAACATTCCTTCACTGCTTTTATGTAAAAATGTGTAGAACACAGGTGTCACATGCATATTCACCCTTTTACATAATAGCAGTGAAGGGATGTTTCTTTGTCTACCTGAGGAACTGTATATTTTGTCCGCTTTCTTTGTCCGCTATATTCATAGTGTGTGGACGTTTGGTCGAGCAGAAAGCAGTGGATTCTTAACAACACGAACCCATTTAACAGAATGTCGGAACGTAATTGATTTAATATTGGCGCAGTTGGAAAATGCATCTTTCTACCATGTGACTTTAATGGTACGATCCGGTAAATTAAAACAGTAAAATGGCTCTTGTTTTAAAATTACTCATTAAATAAAACCCAAAACTTCAGTGATATCAGACAAAATATGTTATATCTTACTCATAATTAAAAAAAAAAATATATAAACATTGTGAAAGTTATCATTTTACGATAAAAGACACCGAATGAGCGAAGATGACTTTATTAGAACCTTTGTATGTGCGCTTTTATAAGGGACTTCAAGGTCAAAAGGTCAATTCAGACGCTGATAAGTTATTGGTCAAGCCGTTTTGTTTCCTTTATTCCGACAAAATTATACAATCAATAAAAACAAGTTTAATACCAGAAGAAAGCTAACGATAAGTATTTTCATTAACCGCTTGCCCTAAAGTCGCTTGACCACAGTGAAACGAGTGAGAGCTTGCGAGAACGGCCAAAGTATGGTTGAATCTTGCTTTTTGCTCTTCTCCAACGCAAAAAGAGACGACATTGTGCTGGATAAATCTATTTTTTCCGACAAAAGTACAGAAAATTTGCATATGGTCTTTTTACATTATACTTTATGAAATGTTACCCGAGTGACTCCCGGGCGCCCCAATGCCGGAAAGAAACGCACATTTTAGAAAACTTCACTTTTTCATAGAAAAGTGCTTATTTGTTCTATGCACGTAAGTCAGATTGAGCGGATGATACAACGTTTCCATATGAGTGTCCGCGCTTCGCGCGGGAGGGGGAGACTGAAAAATAACTTAGTTCCTGGCCCCGGGTTTATAGGGTTAAATTTGTAGCCATTTGGACATTGGCATTAATATATTTGTCGGTAATTGGTTGCTCGTTTTGTCGGTAATCGGTGGCCTCTACACCCTCCCCACTCCACCACCTCCCCACTGACAAAAATCTAACGACGCCCCTGATAACGACACCGTTTACACACTCGAATTTTTTTTTGCAAGTACTACTGATGAAGTACCGGACCATCGTCTTTGTGCATTGTGCGGCATCAAAGCATATACAACGTCTCAAGACGTGACAGATCACTTTTCTCTAACCTTTTACCAATCAGAAGGCCTCGTTTTTTTTCTCCAGGAAGTGCCGGTGGAATTTAATGCGCCAAATGTGGTTCTCAAATTGGAAAAGATCCCTACTCTTGGAAGGGGTAGGAGAAAGCAATTTTACGTCATATTACGCTAGGAAGTGCCTGAAAATGCGTCTAATTTGGTTCTAAACTTGCAAATGCTTCTTACTCTGGGAGGGGGCCAAAACCCCCTCCCAGACACACCCCCGCTTGGTCGCTCCGCTACCTCGCCGCTAAAGCCTCGTTCTATCGCTTCGTCGTTTTATATATATTTTACCCCATGCCATTTTGTGCCCCCCCCCGGTAAGATGCCCATAACCCTTGAGCTTCGGGGGCTCCGCCTCTTGACCTCCGCCGGGGCTTTGCCCCTAGACCCCACTTTGCGAAACGTTTAGCGGGGCCTGCATGTTAGAGTGGGGTGCTGCGGATTTTTTTTTTCAGCCCCCCCAAACGTTTTTGCTCATTACGCCACTGTGATGGTCTATGTTAAAAATGCAATATCTTTAATGAGTAAATTATCAAATATTTCATAATATACTTACGTGTTAATAATATATTATGAGCGTGAGATTTACATGACTCCCCCAATAAATAATAGACTATTCCAAAATTGAAAGAAGAAATCATTGAGATTTCATTGGCTAAATTGCTGGGCAATCGCTGCGGTGATTACGTAATTCACGTATACATGCATAATTCAGTAGGAAATCGGGTCTCGTGAATATATAATTCTGATCACTTGTTAAGAGGCCCTCGCCTCGATGTCGACTACGGACTCCGTCCAACAGCGCAAGGGCAATCGACAAGAGGCTCCATCTAATAAAGAGTTGCGATTAATTGGTCCAAATCAATCTCAAGTCCTAAAATCAATCACAACTTTGCAATCTCCTATATTTGTTATGTACATAGTTGCCATTGATATAAAACGAAAATAAGTCGCGATTAATATCAACTCTTTATAAGACGGGGCCGAGGGAGGGGGGGGGGGGCGATCATTAAGTCTTATTTTGATCAATTTTAATAGGCTTAAATTGATTCGGTTTCGGAATTGATTTTTAAGATCGAAACACAACCTTAACAACAAAATATGAAATATTAGATAGTATAAGTATTACTAAACTAGGCGACATTGACGTAAGAGGCGATTTTAATAGGAGATAGATTTGTCCAAGGGGTAGTTTTCCGGGATAAGCTGTCTGTGGGACAGTAATTGTTAAGGATCTTTCAGTGGCATCGGGCTATACTTACTCGTTATCCTTATCCTCGGCTCGCAGCATGGCGGTACACTCTGCGTTCGTGTAGAGACGCATGATGAACGGGTGCAGCATCGTGCGTCTCAACCAGTTGGGTATCGGCCGCCTTCCACCGGTGTGGTAGAGTCGCAGGACAATGATGGAGCACACCACCTCAGCAGAACTCAACCCAATCATCACGGTGAAGAAAATCACTGAGGGTGAGAAGAGGGTGTCACGTCATTAGTAACTTTTCTAAAGGGGGCCTGGGGCGTAAAACAAAAAGACCGAATCTTGCTTCTTCTTTTTTTTAATGCACTGCAAACAGAAATGTGCTAATGGGAAAATAGTTATTTGTGGTATAGACTATTTAGTATAATTATGAGGGCATTTGATAAACGATTCTTATCAAAGGATGTGTGGGCCTACTACGATTCTGTTCAAAACCGACGTACAAAGAATTAGACAACTACTCAGCCGTCTCTTAAGTAAAGGCATATTTACCAATGATGGACGTAGTCTCACCGCTTGGTGGCAGTCTATCGGCCACGAGCTGCTGGAAGAGGATCAACGCCAGAAGGTTACTGACCGCCAGGGTCACCTTCTCACCAGACGCTGGATGAAGCCAACAGACGAGCACCATCAACGCCGACAGGAGAATACATGGGACAACGACAGTACGAGTGTAGAAACCTGCATTCGCGACGAATATATGAAAATGTAACCAGTTTAAATCACAACTGCACTCTACTCAAATATGCAAATGTACTCTGTTTGAATATGCAAATATAGTAATATGCAAATAAAGCATATTGTCAATATTTATTTTATTTTACTTACTTTCTTTTGCATTTTTTCTGTACATACAAATATTTCTGGGTCAAAGCTAGTAAAAAAAAAAAAAAAAAGAAAAAAAAAGGTGACCTCACCCCATGAAATAAATTTACTTATTCTGAGATATTTATTATATTCTTTCCCATTAATCTACAAGATTCCCCACCGATGTGTATGAGAGAGCGTATCCGGATACCTACCCCCTGGACAGCCATCCCCCGGATATCCCCATAATGGATAACCATCCTCTAAGATAACTACCCCCTAGGACAACTACCCCCTAGGGCAACCACCCTCTAGGACGACTACCGCCCTATGACAACTACACCCCGGACTTCTACCCCCAGACAACTAACACCTAGGACAACTACCCCTGGACATGGCAATAGGGACTTTTGAGATTTGAACGACGAGAACGTGGACTGCCACGTGTGGCATCCTTTTAAGGCACTGTCAGTGCCCGACAGTGTCTTAAAAGGACGTCGCATTGCCTTAAAAGGATACCACCCGTCGCAGTCCACGTTCTCGTCGTGCAAATCTAAAAGTCCCTAATATATCAGAGTGGTGTCAAGGTCAACGGGGCAGTATATCTCTGTCGAACGGATCTACGGTGAATTTGTAATGGACTTGAAAAACCTGCAAGCAGGAGGCAAAATGACAAGGTAAGCTGCTGGGCAAAATTTGTCAGAGTCACCGGTTTCGTTACAGTATGAATGAATGGATGAATGAATATATATATGAATGAATGAATGAATGAATAATTAAATGAATACATGAATGAATGAATGAATGGATGAATTAGTTAATAAATGCATGAATTAACTAATCAAAAATTAATGAAAGAATGAATTAAGCAATGCATTTGGCCCTTATTATGATAATGGAATGTATACTTACTTGATTGACGGCGGATTTGCAGGGTAAACTTGACTGTGGACCAAGAGAAATTGTAGCAACACGATTCTGTGATCTCATTTCTGTATATTGTCTTTTCCAGTATCCAGACTCCATTTTTATGGAATAAGTTCCAATTGGCATCGGCGAAAAAGGACTTTTGAAAAAGGACCTGGAACAAAATTGTTGAAGGAATAAAAGTAATAAATAAGGTTTTTCAATTTTCCAATAACTCCAAATTGAATATGAGCGGTCTGCAATTGCAGTTTTGGTCTAAGCTCGGCAGTCGGTAGCCTTGATTTGCAATATTAATTTCACATCTCAGTTGAGTATACAGTGCCTGACAGACAGTTTCTGGATATTGTGCTTTGTCATTTGTTGTCTATGTTTCATTTTCTGTCTAACTTGAAAAAGCTGTGGCTCTGAGGTTGGCTTTTTCATGGGAAGTTCTTGAGCTACTTAAATTTGGCTGTCTTCACCGACATCGGGGTCCCATCTCGATGTCATCGTTCTATAATACGATGGGTACACGATGGTATTGCGAGAGCTTCATGTAGTCGTGTTGCCTTCCGAAGACAATCGGGCAGCTTTTTGTTTCATTCGTATTGTCTTCGTAAGAGGATAAATGCCCGATGGCACCGATGATCACACTAAGTGAAGAGTCAGACGAAGATGAGACGATTGGAAGGGCAATATGGACACATGAATTCAACACGAAAATTAACCTTCGCAAGGTCTTCGGGTAATTTTTTGTCACGCCAAAGATTTTGCCATCGCTCACGAAGTTGCTGCCGGAGCCTGAAAAATCCAATGGCGGTCATACGATGGCTTAAGATGCCCTCACGAATGGCCCGATATGGCCCGATGTCTTTACGATCAGAGCCGAATTTGAACATATCTTTCATCATGTGTCCATCTTATGTCAACCTCGGGACAGTGTGACGCGGGCATTACCGGGATTTTTTTTGGTTAACGATTGCGGTCCCTCCGACCTCGGAGTGGGGGGGGGGGGGGGGATCCTTACCTCATCTGTTATCAGTGACCAAGGGCCAAAGGTCAGGTTACAGTGCTGCACATCGTAGGGAAAGTAGGTATTATCGATGGGGCAGGAAGCGGCTACGATGACCTGGACGTACCAGTCCATGGTCCCGTCGTTCGACACGATGATGTAAGTATCTGCGTAGCTGATGAAATCCTTGACGACACTGTGACGGAGTAAGAATCGTAGTGGATTGGGACTATGACACCAACAGTTAATGGGGGCACAACCGGCCTGGACCTATTTCAAAGCAGTGTCGCAAACGTTATGTACACAAATGAAAGGTTCCCCTACCCAAATATCGATGTTCGTAGCCAAATGACTCGTGGAAACAAAATTAAATTTTTTGTTTTCTTATCAACATTTTTGTTTTTGAATTTGTATTATTGGGTATTTGGTGTCAACTGTGCCTAAGAGGGTGAAAAGAGAGCTAAATCACTGCAACCCTAGGGTCTCTCCTACCTGTATTACTGACTGGGATGTACAGGTGGACCATTACACCTGGGTTTCCCCTACTCTTATACAAATAGTGTAGTAGGTTCTAACTATGAGAAGGTGGTGACTCTTCTCCATTTAATAGCCTGTCCGATAGTCCACAATTCGGCCTATTGAGCACCCTACCGGTTTCCTTCGCGATTGTGCATGCGCAGGTTTCCCTCGCGAGGTAAATCTGGGCTCGCCGTGGTACGAAATAATAGGGACTTTTAGATTTGCACGTCGACAGCTTTGACTGTAACGTGTGACGTCATTTTAAGGCACTGCGCATGCGTCACGTCGTCTCAGTCGGCAATGGGGAATGCGTCAACCTTGATTTTCCTAAATCTAGTACATACACACATATTGATATTTATATAGCTTTTACATAAACATGCTCAATGTACTAGTATGCCGCGTGCGCATAAAATATACAGTTCCTCAGGTAGACAAAGGACATCCCTTCCCTGCTATTATGTAAAAATGTGTAAAACAGGTGTGACATGCATATTCACCTGTTCTACACATTTTTACATAATAGCAGTGAAGGGATGTTCTTTTGTCTACCACAGCAATTGTTGAGGGTAGAATGAGGAACTGTATATTTTGTCCTCTTTTTTTGTCCGTCATGTTCATAGTGTTACTTCCTGCATGCATGTATATCGTCGAGTGCAATCTAATTGATTTCTAATTGTAGTAAACGTGGGCAGTTGAGTACGTTGACACGCATGATCAGTCGGCGTTCGTCGTGTTCTCGTCCACTCAATCTTAAAGTCCCTAATAAGACGCGAACCGGCCACATTCCGTCCGAGTGACGGGTGTTTTCAACTGTAACCTAGCCTGCGTCTATGAAACAGAAGCTAAACCCTGGATCCGGCTCCTTCGATCGATCGCTGTCATTTAGGAAATAACGTGACGCTTAGACGATATTGAATTAATGAACACGTGGGCTATACCTTGTAAGTAAAAAAATGTTTACACCTAGAAAATTGCTAATTATTTTAAAAATCATCTATGAACAGTTAATTATTATACATCTTATGAAAGAGTGTTTTATCCCAAATGAAGTTGCATCATTTTTGTGTGGTATGTGTTCACGCTTGGATGAACAGTTGTTATTGGAAAAAAATAATGATTTAAATTAACACCCTTTTGTTTTGATGAACTGAATCTTAAAGAAAACATTGATCTACTGAACAGTAATGGACTGAATGATATACAATGTTGTTTTAGTTAAATGGAATGTGAGATTGTAAACTGTTTGAATTTTGATAGTTTTGCAAACGAAAAGATCTCTGATCTTAACGAATAGAAATGGAGTGAATTACTTTTTGGTAAGTTTGAATTTGAATGTGAAGATTATGAACTGTTTTGAATTTTAAAATTTTGACATATTTGCTAATGAAAATCATTTTATTACATTTACATTCATCATAAATTGTTTTGGAAAACATTGATAAATTGATCTAAGGAACAGAAATGGACTGAATGATGAATAATAATGTTTAATTCAATGTGAAGTTTGGGAACTGGTTGTGAATGTTTTTGTTAAGCCTGCAAATGACCGGCAAATGACAAGATTTCACTTAACAAACAAAATGGACCGAGTGACCTATAAACTTTTGTTTTGTTAAAGTGAATGTGAAGTTTGTGAACTGATATGAGTTCATTATATTTAAATTTATCTGGATTTGTTTTGTTTTGTTTTTTTGTTTTTTAAAACACTGGTTTAATGAACAAAAATTCATTCAAAAAGTCACTAAATGTCAAATATCTGGTTGAATTCAATATGAAGTGTGTGAACTGATATTTTGAATTTGATAAGTTTGCAAATGACAGGCATTTGACAAGATCAGATCTAACGAACAGAAATGTTCTGTGAGCTGTTTTGAATTTTGAATTTTGAATGTTGATATTTTTCGCAAATAAAGCAGTTATTATATTTACATTTCTCATGATTTGATTTAAACACGACAAATTCATAATATTATAGATCTATATAATATAAAATAAATGTTGTGCAAAGGATAAATTTACCGATTTACCCAAATTTGCACTTTTTCATTTATCCCAATATAGGTGTTCTATGCATGGTTCAAGTATTCAATGATGGTAATATCACCCCCCCCCCCTCTCCCCTGCCCCCTTAACACACACTTCGAATTCTAGTTTCATGAAGCATGCACTACAGTAGCAAGCATGAATTTACGCTACCATCGGGTTTTTGGGGTCTAAACTGAGCAGTTTGTAATACGTACCGTTTCATTGGCTCAGAACCCATACAATCCACTGTGTTAATTGATGCTTATTGGTTTATTGACCTTTATAATGGTGTTTTAAAAGCGTTCTTTAATGCTTTGTTTAAAATGTTTTATTCATAATAATTGGTCATGGTTAATACATCATACGGTCCATATCGTGCTTGTTAGGAGTTCATCTATTTTAATTGTAACGCAAAATGTTCAATTCTTTGAACTACCCAATTTTCATTGATTTACTATATTTGCATTTATCTTGTTTATCCTAATTTGAGCGTTTCTATGCCTGGTTCAAATATTCAGTGATTCCCCCCCCCCGGGCATTGGAGGTTGGGTAATGCATTGCAGGTTGGGTAATGTATGGCAGGAATGTTTTAGACGGCTGAGCCGGGTGTCTTCACATGAGAGAAAGCTTAAACATAAAATAACCTTTTTTTCTGCCGTGCGCTTGGGATTGTGAACACTGGCTTTTCACTTTCACTGGAATGAAATTTTGGGAATGCTTTTCAAATTAGTAGATTGCTTTCTCTTATGACAGAGGCTTTTTGTTCGGCTGTCTAGGATTATTTGGGGTTTTCGCGTCCTACTTTTTAGTGTAATGATTGTTCTGTGGAATTAGCATCTCTGATGTCATGGACTTTCAAGCATGAATAAACACTATCATCGAGTGTTTGGGTTCGGAGCTGAGAGGTTAGTGTTATTGTCTGTTTACAGATCACGCTTCAAATAAGTTTTTGCGCTGACACTATTTTCTTGGCTCTGAACCCATATACCCTGTTCGTTTTCTTTTCAACATTCAGTATGCATGCTCTTAAGGTATTCTTATTCCTTTATTTATATTTCGTTAGTGAATTAATAAACGTAACCAAAATTCTGTTTTAATAGCCCTTCTTTTTAAAGATGATCTTTGGTTCTTAAAAATCCTCTTTGTCATTGTTTCCCCCCCCCTTCTTTTATCCCGCGGTTTACGCTTCGTTGACTTTGTCATTCTCAGCTCTTTTATACCCCATCCTTTCTCACTCAAATGTCTTTTGAATACTGACTTACATTTCCTGTTTTCGCCTTATTCTAAATAATTTTGATATTGGAGCTTGTAACATTTTTGTTGTTGTTTTTTTTCTGCCCTCAGGATGCTTTGCTCACGGTCTGCCACGATGCGCAATCGCATGAGGTCTAAATAAATAAGTATTTAATAATGACGTTTTTTTCTTTTTTCTTTTATTTGTTTTTTTGTATATGTATTTTCTAAAAAATGAAAGTAATTTTCATTATTATTTCTGTTATATTCACTCTTTTGTTGCGTATAATTATAATTATGACTAGTCTACATTGAAAATCTATTTCGAACTTCTTTATCTATATCAGGGAGTTCAAGATAGTGTTGTTTTGCTTTGTAATGCTTTGTTACGATTTTGCGGATGTTTATCGTTTGTTCTCCAAGCCTGCGGAGATTTCTTGTAATATATTCATATCTGTTAAATGTTCGTCTTTTGTTTGTCTATGTTTACTTGTGTATTTGTTCTTGTCTATACTTAATTTCCATTTTTATATCACAATGTTGTCCATACAGACCGATTCTCATTTTCTAACTAAATTTGAAACTTCCATTTTAGATACTGCGCATTATTGTATATTATACTACTATTTTGTTACGCAATCCTTTTGTGGTCAAACTCTAAATGGATACGTTACATAATAACTTAGCGTTTAATTCTCTTCGTGATGATCGATATGATGAGACTATCGCCAATTCTCTAACTGAGTACATTACTAACCATCAATTCAAAGACTTTATGTGTAATAATAATATTAATAAAGATACATTTTCTTTATTCCATTTAAATATTAGAAGTATTAATAAACATTTTGATGATTTTCAATTCCTCTTAGATAATTCGTCCCAATGTCTTCCCTCTATAATTGGGCTTACCGAGACTTGGTTAACCACAGATCCTAACCCACCATTTGCCCTACATGAACATGATTTTATCTTTAGTAGTAGGAAGGAAAAACTTGGAGGAGGTGTTGGTTTATATGTTTCAAAAAATTATTCTTACAATGTTTGTAATGATATTACTATAATGAACAATATCTTGGAATCCTTGTTTATTGAAATCTTATTGCCTGGTCGGAAGAATGTGATAATTGGTGTAGTTTATCGACCCCCAAGTAGTAATACTTTAGATTTTTTATCGTCCCTAACTGATATTTTGAATAATTCGGTAATGATTAATAAAGATTGCTTTATAATGGGTGACTTCAATATCAATTTATTAAAATATGATAGTGATAATTTATGTCATGATTTTTTGGAAATATTTTTATCAAATTCATTCTTCCCACTTATTTCTAAGCCCACTCGTGTAACTAATAATTCTGCTACATTGATTGATAATATCTTTAGTAATGTCATTCCACATCCTGATTCATACATTATACTTTCTGATATATCTGATCATTATCCCATTTTTACTCAGTTTACTCTTTCAAATTCAGTCCACGGTGGACGGCCTCGTCCATTAAGACGTCGAGCTTCCCCAGAGAATATAGCAAGACTTGGAGCCAGTTTAGAGCACGCAGATTGGTCAAGTGTTTATAACACTGATGATGTAAATAGTTCGTATAATAATTTTTTAGATATTCTGAATGAAGAGTTAGATACATGTATTCCCTTACAAAGAGATAAAGTAAATAATTATAAAATTACCCCTAGACTTCCCTGGATTTCGAAATCTCTTCTAAGGTGTATTAATAAAAAGAATAAGTTGTACTATAAGTATAAAGCAAATCTTACAGATAGAACTAAAAGTAAATATACTTCGTATAAGAATGCTTTGATTAGAATTTTGCGTTTTGAAAAGAAGAATTATTTCGTGAATCGCTTAGAGTTTTATAAACATGATATGGAGAATACTTGGAAAATTCTTAAACAGGCTATGAATTTGGTCCATAATAAAAATGATATTATTAAAATAAAAAGGGATAATGAAGTGATCGATGATTCTGATATGATTGTAAATATTTTTAATAAACACTTTTCTTCGATTGGTGAGACGTTAGCACAAAATATACCACAATCAAAAAAATCTTTCACAGATTTTTTAAACGCCCCAAATACAAATTCTATTTTCTTTGTTCCAGCTCATAGATTTGAAATAATAGATATTGTTTCTCATTTGAAAAACAAGAAAAGTTCTGGTGTTGATAATATTAATAACTTTATTTTAAAAGGGATAATACCTTTCATTGTAGATCCATTGGTTCATATCTTTAATTTGTCTTTCTTGAATGGAGAAGTACCTAATGTTATGAAAATTGCAAAAGTTATTCCACTATTTAAGAAGGGTGATAAGCAAGATGTAAATAATTATCGCCCGATATCTTTATTATCATCTCTTTCGAAGGTCTTAGAAAAACTTATACATAAAAGAACAGTTGCTTTTTTGAAAGTTCATAATATTTTTTGTGATTCCCAATTTGGATTTAGAGAGAAACATAGCACGAGTCATGCATTATTATCACTTGTTGAAAAGGTAGCTCATGCTCTCGACTCCTCTTATCATATGGTTGGAATACTCCTGGACTTCTCCAAGGCCTTCGACACGATCGACCACGATATTTTGCTTCATAAACTTTCTCATTATGGTATACGTGGGAAGGCCTTGGAGTGGTTCAGGAGTTACCTTTCCGATAGGAAACAGTTTGTATTTCTGGATGGTCACACTTCTGAATTACGAAATATTAATTGTGGGGTTCCTCAAGGTAGTTTGCTGGGCCCGCTTTTGTTTATTATTTATATTAATGATTTTTATAGATCATCAGATATGGCGTCTTTTATATCATTTGCTGATGATACAAATTTGTTCTTTTCACATACAAATCCAAATACTCTTGTTGAAATTGTAAATTTTGAATTAGAAAAAATTATTCAATGGATCCGAGCTAATAGGCTGTCTTTAAATTTACAAAAGACTAAATATATTCTTTTTAGTAATTCAATAGATTCTTTGCCAACTGATTTAGTTTTTGATGACACTCATTTGGAAAAGGTTACACATTCTAAATTTCTAGGTGTAATAATTGATAATAAGCTTTCATGGAAAGTTCATGTCGATAACATTTCTAAAAAAAATTCGAGAAATATTGGTATATTAAATAGACTTAAAACACAACTCCCATCTTCAGCATTATTAACATTATATTCATCCTTAACATTACCTTATCTGAATTATGGCTTACTCGCATGGGGTAACGCTCATCAGAACATTTTAGACAAACTTTTATTGTTACAGAAGAGAGCAGTTAGAATTATTTCCCAGGCAGATTTTCGTGCACACACTAATCCGTTGTTTTATGATAATAGTATTTTGAAAGTAAAAGATTTGTATTTGCTTCAATTAGGTCAATTTATGTATAAAAATACTAATGATTTGCTGCCAAAAATTTTTAAGACTATATGTTTTTAAAAAATCGCTCTTTTCATCAACATTCAACTAGACAATCGGAAGAGTACCATTTGCCATTACTTCGAACTTCCTTCGCTAAAAACACTTTTATCTATGATGGCCCAAATTTGTGGAATTCCTTTACTGATTCCTTGAAAAATGCCCCTTCATTATATACATTTAAGAAAAGATTAAAAATATTTTTGTTCTTAAAATATAAAGTAAATTAGTTTGATTTACCCCCCCCCCTGACACCCACACACACACACTAATACTTACACATTATACACGATGCATCATTGTCTTGGTCATTTTGAGGAGAATACGCGCATACTTTCCCCTTATTTTCTCTTTAATAATTATATGCGCAGTTATCGATTTATACGGTCTTACTTTTTACTGATAATCTGATTTGTATTGACAATAGTATACGGAATGTAGAATAACTGATTTGTTATTTTGGAAATGTTACGTCCACGTCTGTGCTGTATATTCGTTTTTTTTTTGTTATTGAATGTCTTTCTCTGTCTTACATTGTCTCTACTTGTTACTGTTCTGTCTTCGCGGGCTTGTCATTGTCTTTACTTTATTTTTTATTTTTTATTTTTATTTTTAAAAAAAAGAGCAAACTTTTATATTAATATATTTGTGTTTTTTGTTCTGTATAAGCTAATTTGTGTAATGCTACTTTGTTATTTTGAGGGACCCATAATCTACAAGTATCCACTTTTTAATGGGTCCCTCCATTTCCATAGAAAATATCAATTTTTTTTTGTATTATGTTATTCAAACTTTGTTTATATGCAGTTTAAGTATTTGTAAATGATATTATTCACATGTTATCTTGTTCAATTTTTTGTTTTGTTTTAATGAAATATTGTTCTGATTTCTGTGGAAATGAAAAATAAACTTGAATTGAATTGAATTGAACAGGAGGCATTGTTTGCGAGAGTGCAAAAATCGACCTGCGCAATAATGTGATGTTTAATCCGTTCAAATTTCAATTAGCACGCTAAGCCTTGTTGATCGGGTGGTAATGTCTTTTGTTCATGACCGTGTTAAAGGGGGTGGTGGGAGGGGGCGGTCGATGTTCCATTTAAGGACCAAAAAAGAAGCACAGAAAAAAAATTGCGCCTTGTTGTGAGTGTCAAAGTGAAGCCAAGCAATTATGTGTAAAGACGGCCCTGAGTACCCCACTTTTAAGGCTCGTTCGGACACCCCAACCCCTTCCCCCTCCCCCGCCGTAGTTATTATTTGTTTTTTAAGGTTTGAAAAGAATGACAACTGACGGTGCAACCGAAATGACGCGCGTGTTCACTGAACTCTGTGTTATTATTAAAGAACAGAAGGTAAAGCGAAAGTGAGAGAATGGATTGAATGTATCAAATGAGATGCATTGCATATGCTTTTTGCTGAAGCAAAGTCACACACACACATACACGCGCACAAATGTTCTTTGATATTTGAAATTTGATATGTAATATGTGTGACATGATTAATTTTGTTAGGGATGTTATTTGGATCTGCAAAGACCGAATTAATACTTAAATTCCAATCGTTTTATTCAAACATCGCATAAGTAACTTTGGCGCAAGTCGATTTTTGCACTCTCGCAAACAATGCCTCCTGTCCATCCAAGCGTAATCACATTCAACACAACAAATGATACTAAATGATTCGGGATAAAACACTCTTTCATAAGATGTATACAAATTTAGTGTTCATAGATGATTTTTAAAATAATTAGCAATTTTCTAGATGTTAAGTTTGTTTCGACCCACACTGTATATTGCCTAAGTAAACAAATTGGAGATAGCAACAAGGGTAATACGGTTGATCAACGTGTAGTAATTATAATTATAATCTCTCTCACGGGAGAGCACGGCCAACTGTAATTACATGATGAGGGAGGTGTGAAGCTCTCTTTATTGCGAATTGTAAAACAAAGTAAGGAGTTTCTCGTCCGGTCTTTTAAAAAAAGGAGGAGGCAGTGTTTTACTATTTACTTCTTTGTATTTTTTTTTCTCAAGATGGCCGCCATGCTAAATATGGCTGACCTAGGTATATCTTTTCATTGCATCAACTCAAATAGCACAATATTTGTGAAAAGATATACCTTGGAAAAAATTGTAAAAAAATGGAAAATAGTAAATAGTAAAGCGCTGCCTCCTCCTTTTTTTGAAAAGGTCCGGAAGAGAAACTCATTACATTTGTTTTTTTACTTGACCTTATCATATAACCATTCGCTGTAGAAGCCGATCGCGTATTTGGCTTTTCCAATAATACATGTGCCTGACAATTTACTCATTTAAAAACAAGTTCAACATTACTTATTGTGCTGAAAGCACAATGCATGCACGTATGTGTAAACGACCGAAGTTTATGAAATTCCTCCTCCTTTTCTCCCCCAAATTCTCTGACGAGCAACACATTTTTTTTGTATATATTTTTTAAAATAGTAGTCCTAACATTATGTGGCAGCTTTTTGTCAATACAAAATATAAAAACAATTAGATAAACATGTTCATGAGAGGGGAGGGGGTAGAGGGGACGGGGTTGGAGGGTAGGAGGGCTTACTCCAATCCCCAGAACTCCTACGTTGTATTGGCCTGAAGTAAGATTTAAACAGTGGTTAATGACGTCATCTTACCTTTCATAGAGGCAGATGTCGGGAACCCAGACATCGTTCTTTTTAACGGTCACGTATTTGACGCCATCGAAATCCAAAGGATCCCATATCATGTTCTCATCCGTCCATATCTGAATGAAATAATAAGGTGAATATGCAATTAATGACGATGATGATGATGATAATAATAATAATGGAAATATTAATAATAATAACGCCGCCCTTCCTAATAATAATAGTCATAATAATAATACAGATTATAATGACGTTAGCTGTATATTACGCACGTATCCATACAACCGAGGCACTTGCAAAGTATTCTAATGCATGCCCTCTTACATGTTTTTTAGTATGTTATGGCCGCTGTCCTATGACATATGTGTATTTAAATGTGTAATGGCTAGGTTCCTTTCTCGGCATAATTTTAATTCTAATTTTTAACATCATAGGGTCTATCTCTAGCTTGCAATGTCGAATGTCGATAACTCATTGTTTGTTTTTTCTACCACGCACAGTCACTGTTCTTGATAGCCTGTACTCTATTTCATCTCTTCACATCCAGAACTCCTCGTTTTCTGTCACCTTCTCTTTCTCCCTCACATTTCCTTTCTGTTCTACTCCATGCGACTCATCTTTCTCTCTCTCTCTCTCGCTCTCTTTTGTTCTTTTCTCTGTTTTTTCCTCAAACTCTCCCTCTATCTTACTCTTTTCTCTCTCTATGCTCTCTTGGAATTTTTCTTTATTGAATGTTACATGTATTTCAGTTTGATTGCAATGATGTCTACCATATTGAATACTTGGGCTGATTTTACAGATTCTACATAGGGTATTGATATTTCCCTAATTTTCTTCCTATCCTCTTCCTTCTCTCTTTCTCTCTCTCTCTCTCTCTCTCTCTTCTCCTTTCCCATTTTCTTCCTTTCTCTTCCTCTATCTTACTCTCTTCTCTTTCTAAACTCTCTTGGGTATTTCTTTATTGTATGTTACTTGTACCATCTCAATACTTAAAACAAAAAAACATTTCGCTGACATATTCCCCTCTTTTCACCATTGATCTTTTTAAACCCAGTCTTAAGCATTTTAATTTTCTTTTTAATGAACTCTCGTTATAGTTATTGCACAGCTCGGTAATTGCACAGTAATTCTAATGATGTATACGTATTGTTGTTATTGTATATATGTCCTTTTTGCAATATTTATTGATAATAGTTTAGTTATTAGATATTTTAAGTTATGTAACTTATGTATTCATTCATTACTGCTATTTTATTATGTATATTTGATTTAAATTTTATTTTGTACCCAAGACAATTGTCAGTATTTGGACTGTTTGCTCTTGGGTTTTAATGTTTTGATTTCAATAAAATCCTATATATATATATACCATTTATGGGACATAAGGGGTGAATGTTCAGAGCACTTTTATTTCATTTATTTTATGCATTCTTTGCATTCTCGAGCTTCGATTTTTAATGCCAGTTTTTTAAATTTACATGTCAGTTTTGTTATTCCTATTATTATTATTATTAGTATTATTATTATTATTATTATTATTATTATTATTATTGTATTTTCTTTGTATCCTCGAATGTATTTATATATTGTTTATGTTGTTTGTATATGTCACTCGCCAGTGGAGGACGAATTTCTGTATTTTGTAAATCAGATAATAAATTATCTTGAATCTTGAATTGAATCTGGAATTTCCCTGGCTTTAGCCAATTATCTGCCCTCATGCGCTGAAAGCATTCGAATAATATATTCCTACCAGGTACCCATTTTCTACTCCTGGTTGGATAGTGGCAATTGTTGATTAATGTCTAGCCAAAAGAAGCGGCGGGACTGGAACTGCGAAGCATGTGATCCACCAGATTTGATTTGATTTGATTTGATTTTATTTTATTTCTACATTTTTCCAAATACAATAACTGAACTACAAAGAACATATTAACGTAAGGTATAATACAAAATATACAAACAATAATAACTTCGTGTCAAAACGTTTACATAAATACATACAATAACGATCTTAATATTTCTATAACACATTTCATACATTTAAAGTATTATCCGAACTATCTATGGAATAAAGTGCAGGAGACCGCTACCATCAGCGATGCTTGACTAGGATAGCGACCTCAAAAGAAAAATCTTCAGAGGAAATTAATTTTTTTTCTCCATTAAGATACATGTACTTTGCATGTTGTCGCTTAGACCTATATCACGTAATAGTCATAATTTTCAAGATGTAGGAGCGACAACAAAACTTGAATCTTACTTGTTCAATAAGTCCTGTCAGTGGAGTTGCGAGGGATCAGTTAAGGGAGGGGTTGGACTGGGTGGATGAAATTGGATAAAATAACAACATGATGATATTGAAGGGGGCATATACATTTATTTACACGTTGCCCTCCTCTCCCTTTTTCTCTTTCCTGTTCATGTATTTAACTATTCAATGGGGGTATACGGCCACTGTGTCGTTATAATTGTTGGGAATTATTGTTCCACTTTGTTTAAAAGATACATGTGGCAGATATGGTGATGCACCGCTCATGACTTCACGTGTATATTTGAAAGGAACAATATATCAACTTCTCAACTGTGATAAAGGAAAGATACCAACAGTGTACCCAAAATAAATTTGAATACATTTTTTGAGAAAATTTATCTACTGAATGAACTCTTACCATTCGCATGTGTCCCGATAGCTTCACGTGTTGGTTTTCTTCGTCCTGTCAAAAAAGGTGAAAGGAAAATGATTACACAATTATATGCTCTCGAGCGAAAACGGTGCTTTTTCAATTCGTTTTCACTGGCTACCTGCCGTAGCAACAAACGGAATTAACAAAAGATTTAACTCCGTTTCGTTGACAATCATACGTAGACGAAAGACTTCATGCATGGCTGATTGTCAACGAAACGGAGTTAAGTCTTTTGTCAATTCTGTTTGTTGCTACAGCAGGTAGCCAGGGAAAACGCATTCGTTTGATAAAATTATGGAAATGCAAGCACTACTTTAAACAAACAGAACTTTGTTATTCCTAGCTCATATTTCCTGACTGAGGTATTATGAAAGGGCAGAAACTCAGCTTTCTAGAAATGTGATTTTCTCTTTGAAATTCAGGTACCGCCCGCCAAATAACTTTTTGGTTTCCTCTCTTCAAATTCATTTTAATCACCTATGCGTGAAATATGCATCATTAAGAGTTATGACAAATGAAAGTAGAGGATCTAAGCTTTCCAAATATGTGTCATTTATCGATTATAAATGTGACTAAGTTATGATAAAACATCGATAATTCTCGGTTTCCATTTTTCTGTTTTTTCTGTCCATTATCGACTGTATATGGACATGTGATTTTAAGCATCAATTTGTAAAACAACTCCAATATTTTAATAACCTTTTAGAATTGACGTTCGACAATAGCCTCAATGATAAACTTATTAATGGTGGTTTAATAGTGTGATGATGCTTATGAAATTCACTTACGAACTCGATGAGCTCACCCGGAAGGAGTCTGAAGGACACATTCGTAGATCGTCTGACGTCACGCACAGGTCTGACTGTGATTGGTCCATAGTTATCTAAGAGTTGCTTTAGCAGAACGCTCTGAGTATTATTGTTTCTTCCCAAAGCTGATGAGGACAATAAAATATAAACAAATATATATATATGTACATAGACATAATATTTCAATATGATTATCATCATCATCATCATTTTTTTGTATTATCATCAATATTATTCTTTTTCTAATCAATACGACTACTATCATTACTACTACTGCTATTACTATAATTAATTGATCTAGCTTGTTATTGTTTTTAACAAATTTCGTTTGCGTTCAGTTTGATGAGGATTTATCTATTTTAAGTGATGGCAGCCAAGTTATAGGGGCAAGATGACATTGGATCTCTAAGATTCGGATTTGTAGTTGAAACGCTCTCCCCCAACCCCCACCCCGAAGTGGGCCCTTTTATGGATGAACGATACTTGGGGCCTCCCTTTTGGAGCGTTTGGAGAGCTGATTGGACTCCCTCCCCCATAATAGACGGATTAAAAATAGGGATAGCGGAACCGTGCCCATTCTGACACCCCGGGTTGGACTCTTAAAGGTATTATGTCCCATTTGCAGGCCAAAACATAAAAAGGTTAAATTCCAACGACATTTGAAAGATAATTCTAATTTAGAACTTCCCTAAAAAAGGGGGGCTTGAAAATGTCTTTAAGTGAGAAAATAACGACTATTAGTTGTCGAATCGGCTTAAGAGCTATAGAGCCAGTAAGTAATAGTCTGATTTTCAGACCATTGTGCCGAATGGTCGTAAGTTTTATGCTGCGCAAAGATTCAATCGGTTTAATTTTGTCAATTACGAGAAGTGGGTTATTGATGTAGACATAATTGCTCATGTATCCTTTACAGCTCATTTTATGAATGTATTTACCAAAAAAGAAAAAAGCCAATCAGTCACTCAATAGTGTTAGACAGTAAAGTTTAGCAAGTAAACGGGTTTCCTTGCATAATTTAAATATTAGGACACTGGTAACGTTTAAATTTTACAGATAGGACATACATGACATATTCATAATTCCTCCAAAGTTCTATAGAATTTGATGTTGGCTGCAAAAGGGACATAGTATCTTTAATGTCATATCATTATCATTTAAACGTCTCTCTCTCTCTATCTATATCTCTCTATCTCTCTGTCTATCTCTCTCTCTATGTCTCTCTCTGTCTCTCTCTCTCTCTCCCTCTCTTTCTCTCTCTCTCTCTTATTCATTTGTTAATATTATCACATGTTTATCATTGTTCATATTATCACATGTTTGTCTTTGTTCATATTAACACATGTTTATCATTGTTATAATTGTTATATTGATACTATGTTGTAAATATGTTTGTACTCCCATGCCCCGAGAGGGGGTCGATAGAGTCAATAAAATCTTATAATTTTACTACTACTGCTATTAAAACAACTGCTACCACTATTACTAATGATAATAATACTAATACTACTACTGCTGCTGCTACTACTACTTCTACTACTATTACTACTACTACTACTACTACTACTACTAATGCTACTACTACTACTAATATTACTACTACTACTACTACTACTACTACTACTACTACTACTACTACTACTACTACACTACTACTTCTACAATGATTACTGCTTCAACAATATTTGTCGCTCTTATTTGCTGTCGAATAAAACTATTTTAACCATTTATTCTAAAATATATGATTGCCGCAATGTCTCTTTCCCTCAACCATCTATGACACAAACCTCGTTACAGAAATCCTGAAGGTCGACAAAATGACCATTAATATTGATACCAACGCCCAAACAAAAAGCTTCACTTTTTAATTTAGGTTTTTTTAGGTTTTTTAAAACGCAGGTAAATTAGCCCTCATTGTTAAAACAATCAGTGCATCCGCTCGTTAAGAAACAGTTTTGTCTCTTACTCTTAGATATTGAATTGTTTTATCCGTTGTGAAATTAATCAAGATAAGTAAGCGTTTGTAAAAACGCGGCTGCTAACAGTTTACAAGCTCTAGATTCATAAACAAGTGTTTGAATCGTTTGAACACAAGCACATACAAATGGGTCAAAATTTAGGGTGACATATTATATCGTCAAATGTCAATTTCCAATTGGGCTTTAACATCAACTACGCGTCAATCATCCAGGAATTTGTAGGCTTATTGCTTTAATGTTAAATTTCTCACTATATTTTGCTTATCTGTGACATTTTCATCATCCACTTTTCTTTAGCCTTGTGGTTGCTTTGGAAAATGATTGGCAAATTTCGTTGAGAGGATTTGTAACACTTCTAAGCTGATGATATTCTAGATCATGTGAATATATTAATCATCTAGCTTCACCATAACTAGAACAGCGTAGCATTTAGCCGCTTTTTTGTCTGATTAAATTGAATTTAAAATGTCACGCGAGTAAAAAGAGGAATGATGAATTTGAAGCTCCTGCTATCAAATTTTGTAAACCTTCCAGAAAATGACAAGAAAAATTGAAATTGTATTATAATGGTGATTTTTTTTCTGGTAGAAATTATATTTTAACCTTCCTATCTTTCCTTTTCTCCCCTCCTCGGGAATGTGAGATTCTCTGTTTTAAAACAATCATTCGCAGATATGTGTTGCATACTTCTTTTTCTCCCCCAATTCCTCTTTGAAATAAATCATGATATGCCACATTTAAAAGGGCAATCCAACCCCTTGTAATAAAAAAGTTATGAAGGTTTGAAATATGAGATCACTACAGCTGTGCGAATCCTAAATTGACAGTTTGGTCACTGGATATGTAACGTAGTGACGGATAACTCTCCCGTTTGTCGTGCATAAAATAATATCACTAAATTCTGTTTTTCTACCAAGTGCCTTCACCCATGGGACACTATTCAAAATATACTATGGAGATTATATTCTTACAGGTCCTCTTAAAAGAAAATAATATGATAATCAGGATTTATAAGGCGCTTCATACGGAATACCGTGTCTAAGCGCTATCGGATTCATTCACGCACAATGTGCACCATCTACACTCCCTGTGGAGTATTCCTACCACAATGGTCATCGTGAGGGCATAGGCAATTACTAACACAAATGCTTTCGTCATCCTACCGGGTCCCAATTTCTGTCTAGGATATTGAGTTGCAAATGAAGATTACTGCCTTGCCAAAGGACATTAAAGTAGATATTCATTTATTTTATAAACTAACTTTATTTTCATTACTGCAAAGTTGAAACTTTGATTCGACAAGGTTTTCAAAATTCAATGCTTGAAAATATTCGAAAAAAGATTATTATTAATTATAAAACGCTTAAATACAGCCCCGGCATAGCACCTGAATAGCTCTCCGAACGCTGGTGAGCTGTGTGAGATCACAGTATGGACATGACTTGCACAAGCAGACGATGTCCCATGACATCTCACACATTTTCAGTGCCTGTGTTTTCATCTTTTCTTGAGTTCTTTCTCTTACTTCACTACCGTCAGGCTAAATGTATAATCTATTGCCTCACTCTAAACCCCGCGCACAGTTTTATTTTCATGAAAAATGCAGCGATACAAAAATAAAGGAATCTGTCGCTTGTAAACAAAATAAGACGCCATTGTAAATTTAGCTGCACACATCGGGGTATGTTCGGCGTTTCAAGAGGGAACAAATGCCGTCCTTAATATTATTCCGGGGGGTTTTCAATTTGAAAGTCTGGTTTCTTTGATTGTTAATTAACCCCTATCCTGTTAATTTACAAGCAAAAGATTTTAGTTATCAGAATCGGGTCATATCCCCCTTTTGAATGGTTTGACTTGCCATTACATTTATATACACTAAACTCATTATAATTTGAGAAATAATAGCTTTGCAATTATTTTCATTCTCTATGGGATGTCGTCTGCTTGGGCAGTGTTGGTCCATATAGTGACGTCATTAAAACATCGTTATTTTTCTGGCGAATCTCTCGTATATCCCAGCTGCTATGGAAGTGATTGTAGTTGTATTTTTATAAATCACCCGATATGTAGTTGACCTAAAAATTGTCCGATGGCCTTCTGTTAGCTTACCAGTTTCTAGATACACATGGGGAAAGTAGTCCGCCACTACATGTGCAACTCAGCCATATCACCGATTCAGCCAATTTGAAAAGCCCATGCCTTTAGCGATCGCAAACTTAATTTTGTTAAAATAAATGTTCATATTTTTTCCGATTTTCTTTTACCAGTCTGCTTTTTTGATTGTTCTGCTTTCTTTTTAGAGCAGTTTGCTATTAAGGTTGGATTCCCCTCTTCAGATTACGGTATTGATATTAAACAGCATGTTATGTACGTAGTATTCGACTCTTTCAATATCTTTTTTACCCGTCTAGTATATTTTTCTAATATATTTCATTCGAATGGAAATAAAAGCTGGAAGAAAAAAATATCGAAAATCCGGCAGTAATTACGATTATGAGAAATGTTTTATATTACCATTATGACATTTCAGGATATAGGAACAATTTTTTTCAAAAAAATGTTAAGCACCAATAACAGAAGAAAAAAACATGAATGGACAGCATTTTGGAAACATGTTCCGAGCATTCTATAACTAAAAGGCATGAAATAATAATGAACTAAACAATTTGGATACATAAAAGAAAGAAACGCTATAAGTCCCACTTAAAAGAAAGGAAACAGGAGACATATGAATTTATAACAATGATATCCATTACTCAGAATATACTCAATCGCTGAGAGTAGTGATGAAAAATGTACACTTTAATTTCATCTACATTGCAATACAGACGACATGAACAATACTATTAAGAGTACATCAATGAAATAAGTTGACACAAATATAAACTAAGGAAATATAAAAGAATGACAAAGATGTAATGTGGAAAAATTGAATTAATCAAAATCGGTTTTGAACAAGTGAGTTTTAGGGAAGACCTGAATGAGTTCACGGTTGCTATTTCCTTAAGAGGCTCTGTTGATTGATTCCATAGAACTGTTCCAGCATTTGCAAAAAATTATCCCGCCCCCCATGATTTTGTTGTGTTCAGGACTACAAGAAGAGAAGTTGTCTTACTATTAAGGAAAGTAAACAAAGTACAGTTGTCCTTAG